CCCCCCGGAACGGATCCGTGCGCGTTTGTCGTCCCGAGGTACGTGTCTCTCCAGACGCGTTCGCACGCATGGACGGACCGCGAAGCTCCCGCCCGAGGTTGGCGTTGGTATCCACTTGATTGACGACGTTGCGTTGCGGGAATGGAGGCCGCGGTAAGCGCCGATATCGGCCTGATATCATAACCCGAGACTCCCCGCAGCGCGTCCCCCAGACGCGAGACACGTGTCTGTCGTTCATTGTTCAGTAACGTCATCTGAAATCGCAATTAACTCGACCTATCATCTCTCCTCTTTCCTTCCTCCTCGTTCTCTTGTCGGACGTCTCTCGGGACGTTTCTCGAGTCTGGAAGTCGTCTACCCGTCGCGAATCCGACGATATTCACCGATGTTTCGACCGTGTTTCGTTATTTCGCCGGACACCGTCTGTCGCCTGTCGTCGCGTTCTCGTCAACGAGAGAGAGAGAGAGAGAGAGAGAGAGGACGAAATAAACGAGATAACATTTTTGCGTCGTCGTCGTCGTCTCGTCCTCGCGTGAAAGTAGACTTCTTCCAGCGCGCTGAATACAAGCATCGGCGACACGGCGCTCGGAAAAAAAAGGGAGTCCCGGTGGAGTTAGCGCGCTTAATTGAAATCAAGCCCGCGCGTCGCGACGGAGGGTCCTTTGCGCATAAGTAGACGCACAGAGCGGGCGCGAAGGAAGGGACGGAGGGGGAAATCCTTTCTTCCATTCGGGGGATGAAGAAGACGCGCACAACGCGGTTTTCCTCGCCGGAGAGTTCGAATGTCGGGCTTACGGATGAGAATGGGTGCAGCGGTTGAGAAATATTGTTTAGACCGGTGCTCGGGATTATTTGTATAAACGACTTTTAAGGGCGACGCCTTCCCGCCGCTCCACCTCGCCCGGCGTCCCCAGCAACGATAGAGCCGTGACGCGCAGCCTCACCCGGAGAAAACAAGTTTTGCTACAACAGCAAATTGTTCGTTGATATAGTGACAGCGAGAAAAAAATGTGTTACGTGGAGAAAATAATTCTGCTATTGTAGCAACTCGTCGTTGCGACGAGCAATAAAATTTAATTGGCACAACCAAATTATCTTGCCCGTCCATATATGTCCAGCAAATAGCAATTAATACTCTTAACAAGTTTCCCTGTTGTCCGAACAAATTTGTTTCGCTCTCACTATAGGCGCTTCGTGATACCTGAAAGATTCCGGTCGAAACAACAACTTACATATAATATTTTTATACGATGCACTGAGAAAAATATCCGATCATCAATATCTGATCGGATAATCCAATTAAAACGTAACAAACGGATACATCCAGTGTAATGTCCAGTCATTCCGTCTTAATTATTCATCTTCATCCGATCATTGTAACGCTTTTAACCGATGAAAGTTACAACGGATATACAAAGGGTGATTAATTTTCCGATTAGGTTCCATCGGTAACTTCATCGGATAAAGGCACCCATCGCTTGATCGGGCAAATAAAAATAACAATCGGATATATCATTTAATCGGTTTATCTAGTGGATATTTTTCTGCGGCAATACAGATTTATTTATTATTATGTCGAGCTTATTAATATTATTATTATTATTATTAATATCACAACAGTTGACATCCCCAACAGGCTATAGAATAATCAACAGTCCTAAGGCTGGGCGCCGCAATTGTCAGTTGCGTGGCCCACCAAGCGAGCTGGAACGTCAAAAAGGCGTAAAAAGCTCATGAAAATCGCCTCGTTTATGCTAATAATTCCGAGCATTGGTTTAGACTCGATTCGCGTCGACACGTACGCGAGAGCGGTGTTCAGGTCTGAGTGAGAAAGTCGAAATACGAAAGATTCAACGCAGACGGTGCAGTTGGTGCGGTATCCAACGTTGACGGCGCGTCGACGGAGTCACTTTTCTTTGAGGGCACGGTTTTCCCTCTCGTCGCTAAGCAGCGCCGAACGTCTTATTTATTCATGCACGCTGCAAACGGCTTACGGTTATCAAGGGGGGGGGGGAATCGGCACGGAAAATAATTTAAGAACGAGTAATCCCAAAGCTGGATTTTCCGCGGCTTTGCATACCCCGGGGATCATTAAAATGCAGTTTCCTCGTTTAATTGGTTATTTACATTTTATAGCGTGTTCCTTTCCGCTTCTCCTCCCTCCCCATCGTCTCCCCCAACCGCTCGGTTTCCTCTTGACCGACGACCGAGAGCGACTTTTCGTGCGTCACGTATTGCGTAACAAATAGGACGCGAGAAAATGCTAACGGCCGGTATATCGTTTAACGATATATATATACGTTTAACGATTTGCAATTCACCGGCGTGGCGAGAGTCTATTAAGTGAAATTGGGGGGGGGAGAGATTTTGAAAAGTCAGTTGTACTTACACCTTTCCTGTTTATTTTCCGAGCCGCACGCCGTTCTCACTCGTAACCCGCGTAAACTCTTTAGCGGCGGGCGGAAGAAAGGATGGCGGGTCCTTTTCTCGTCCTTCTCCTCGCGTATCCTCTCTCTCTCTCTCTCTCTCTCTCTCTCTCTCTTTCCTTCCCCCTTTCTTCTTTCTTTCGCTCGTTCGCGCCCGAGTTTCGTTTCCACGCTGCTCTTTTTCGCCGCGTTTCCGCAAGCCGGTAATATCGACGATATATTAAAGTCGAGCCGTATTGTGTCGAATATACACCAGCCGGAGGTGGAACGATCAATCGAACCCGGTCAGACGCGAAGGGCTCTCGGAACGGATATACCTGTCTCAAATGCCGCGGGAAAACGGACGATCCTTTCACGCGATGATGCGTCCTGACACCCACATCCTCGTAAATATTTTCAATCGTGTTTCCGATCGCCATGACGTTCGCGAGATTTGATCGCAGTCCTCGCGAACGAATCGCTCAGTGCGCGCCCGCGCGCGCTCGCTCTCTCGCTCGCCTTTCTCGTCCTACAATAACCGTCGATCCTCGTCTTCGGAATCGCGTACTTCCGGCGAGACGTGTGCGCATTTCACTGGGAATTTCATATCGATCAAGCGGAGATGCACACCACACGATACGGTATCAAACGATATTGTTGCGCGGTGTCACTCAGCGTCGGTCGTCCGAGACGCCTTTTTTCCCCTTTCTTTTTGCTCCCTCGAAGAGAGCGTAACGCTTAAGAGATATCATATGCGCTTTATCTCTCGCGCGAGGCGAACGAAAAGAGCGAATTTCGAAAGCGTGCGCTGTCGGCGAAACGTCTGTCTGCGAGGCCGCGATGTGTTAAAGACGACGGCGCGCACAGCCCGTGAGTCACGTGTAACTCCGCGTCGTCTGATTTACATTCTCACTTCGCCCGCAACCGTCGTTCCCCGTACCGGCGATGTGCAAGCGTACGTAGAAAGCGGCGGCGCGCTGTTTGCACGCGTGAACCGGCATGTAAAGTACGAAAGCAAGCAAAACTCGCTGCGCATCCCTTCGCCGCGGCCTGCCCGCCGCGCGTAGTCTTCCAAAGCGTAGGTCTGTTGTGTTTAACTGTACCTTCCGCCTTCCGCTCTTCTCCTTTCCCGCTTGCCGCTTCAGAGGATGAGCATATTCTTCACGTGCTCTGCGGGTAGACAGAAGCGTCAAAGTTTGCGGAGGCGGAGGATCGGCCCACCGGTCGCTCGTCCGGCAGAGGGAAATGCGCTTGGAAATCCTATTCGACGGGTAGAGTAGCATTTCATTGAG